TTTTATTTATTTATTTATTTTTATGTTATTGTCAAACTTGTATGCCGCCCATCTCCCCCAACGGGTGACTCTGGGCGGCTCACAATAATAAAAAAGGAAAAAAAACACAAGTCCCTCCAACAATGGGTATATCTCCAGTATATTGCATAACAAACAGAATAAAAATGTCTGCCAGAACCTTGTCCTTGTTGAAAAGTGCAAGATAGCAACGGGAATGGGGTGAGGGATCCAGCTCCCAGAGGAAGCTCAATTATATCAACTGCTGAGCTGGAGAGACTTCATCAGTTAGATGCTCCTCACATTCAAAGGAGTCATTCCATCACAGAGTTGCATTTGTCCCTGGATCAAGAACTGGGGCCCTCCACAATACCACTATGGTCAAATATGTAGAAGTGAGATATATAGAGTGAGATCCAATCTATTTTTCCTCAAAGAAACAACAGAGCACCAGAAAAGATAAATACCTCGCTCCAGCCTCTTATCTGCTCCCTCACTGCTTCCCTCCTCCAAATTCCCTAGACCCAACTCTGCATGCCTTTTTCCTTTTCTTCTAAAAAGTGCTTCAGGGCTCTCTTATCTACTTTTGAACAAAACCAAATCTCCCCAGCTGATGGTGTAGTTATCTGAGTGGAAGCAGATTCCTGTTCACGCTGGGTGCACCCTGTTCTCTGCAGCTGAAGTTATCAGGATCCCAGAGTATGTTAGTTATGGCCTTGCTCATAGGGTTAATAAAGCAGAGCCATTTGGGCTGCAGAACAGGGAAACAAAAGGCCCTTTTGGTTGTATTACAACATTGTTGGGGAAGTGCTGCTCACCAAAGTTAAAGTGCTTGCATCAAGGCATCTTTTCTGTGCATGTTGCAGGAAAACCAAAACCAGTAATTCATTAGCATGGGTTGATTTGCTTCCAGAGTCTTTGGGACATGTTGCATACTACAGCTCCCATATTCCTCAGCTGGCCTGAGAAATGGAGCTGGGGGAGTTGGAGTTGGGGGAGTCCAACCCATCAGACAACGTTGGGTCAAGGAAGGCTGGCAGGCATTAGATATGGATTGATCAGGGCTATTTCCAAATGTCTGTCACTTGCCTTTGCGCCTAAGCTAAGAAATTAAAGAGGTTTGAAAACACGTTGACTCTGTTTGTTACCTTTTTATCGAGATATGGAATTGTGCACTTCATATAAGAATAATTTTCTTCCCTCTTTCCAGCTAAAATCGATGCGATGTGACCAGAAGCTCATATTTAGGAAGTATACTCCTTGCACTACCTGCAAACTTTTTCTTGGGAGGGTGGACTGCCCAGATGGATGGGAAAGAGTAACCCTCAAGCCAGAGAAATGCAGGTGAGAGCTGCTCTTCTCTATTTCACGGTGTCTATTATATTTTAGAGCAGGGGTTCCTAAACCTTTTGCTGCCACACCTCCCTTTAGTGTAATCTTAATGTACCCACCTCCCCTAAAAATCCAAACATCAAAATGAACACGTCAGCTTAAAACTAGTATTTTGGGAAATGTGGATTTATTGTAGCAATGTACAACTAAAAAGTTCTTTGCACCTCCCCTGGACTCTATCCACCCCTCTCCAGGGCAGGTGTACCTCACAGTTTGGGAAACTCTGCTTTAGAGTGTAGTTTCTGACTGGTTATTGTAATTACTTTAATTCTAGTGGACTAGACTGGGAAGTTGAAACACAAAACCTCTTCCAAACTAGTTCCATATTGTTGCAAGACAAGGATATGGAAGGTTTTCTTTTCAATATGGATGCATTTAGGTGTGGGGCTTTGATCACATAGTTGTGGCTGCCCTCTTGAGTTTTTTGACCCCACTCCCCCCTGCAGATACCCCTGGAGGCATCCATGAAGTCACCAGGAGCAGAGCCTGAATCAAAGGACGCTTTACTTACTTGTAAAGCCATAGGGGTGGTTTACACCTACTGGGAAAAATAAAGTGGTGTGCTTGGGGATTTTATGGGCACTAAGTAAAACCCATGCTTCCTCCCCATCTCGGAATAACTCAGTCCTTGCTCACTGGGATGCTGAAACTCTAGGCTGAAACCCTTGCAGTATCTACATCATCTTGCTACATACCCATCATAAATATCTTGTTTGTTTATTAGTTATTCATTTACTTACTTTAATCCTACTCTTAGCTGACAGGTACTTCCATAACTCAATAAAAAAGTGCAGAAAATTCATCCCTAAAACAAAGGAAAACCACCTTTGAGTCAAATTCAACTCCTGGTGACTTTAGCGACATGTTCATGTGGTTCCTCTGGAACAGTACTGTATTTTTGATTTCCCAGTCTACTTCTACAGCCCTGGTATTTCTACATCCAAGTATTAACCAGGTCTGGCCTTGCTTAACTTCAGGTTCCATAAAGAACAGAACAGCTAGGCTATTTTCTCATAAACCTTTAATTTTTAGCCTAATTAACATTCTTGCTTTTTTATTGTATGTTAATTTCCTAAGATAACAGTTGCATTTTATTATGTTCTATTCCTCACTTCTACATTGAAATTAAGCTCCAGAATACCCTCCATTCTTAACATGTTGATGCCAACCCATTTACAATCAAACTTACTTCACTTATCTAACTTTTTAAAACCAAAACTACATAGCTTCTCATTGATATTGAAGTTGCTATACCTAATTCATAGAAGCAGGGCTGAAGTTCCAGGGCTTAAATTATCTTTGTTCTTGTCTTAGATTTTTAATATCTGTGGTGGAAATAATTTTATTTCCTCTATGATTTTTAATTATTCTCAAACTTATCTTTTAAACTGAGCTTCTTGTAGGTTATGCAGGTTAGCTCTTTTCAGTTGTAACTTGGATAGTGATATGTTAACTTTCTATGTTAGCTTCTCCCAATCTGGAAAGCCTCCCAGAATTTCCCAGCCACCAGGGCAATTGTTGAGAATCCTGGCAGTTGAAATTCACACATCTAGAGGAAACTCAGGTTGGAGAATGCTGTCATACTGCTAAACAGCTGGTAAACTGATAGCCACTGGCAATATATAGAATGGAAAGATTGATAGATCTTACAGTTTTACTGTATGAATGGAAGAAGGTTTTCTTGGCAGAAGAGCAGAAAGATCATCCTATGCATGCAACTTAGTTGTACATGGAAGCATCTTCTGTTCATGGACCAAAAGCTTTGGATCAAGGCTGTCAGATATGTTTGCACAATGCTTTAAGCCTAATATTATTAGCTGGACCCTTTTCAGTCAGGATTCAGGCCAGGATATGGGACTGAGACGGCATTGATTGTGCTCTTAGATAACGTCTGCTGGGAGTGGGATGGGGGAAGTCCTTCCATCCTTGCTCTTCTTGACCTCTCGGTGGCCTTTGATACCATTGATCATGGTATCCTTCTGGACTGGCTTTGGGAGTTGAGGGTGGGCGGCACTGTGTTGTGCTGGTTCTCTTCCTTCCTCCAGGGTTGGTTTCAGTCAGTGTTGGTAGGAGGGGAGAGGTCAGTCCACAGCAGCTACTGTGTGGGGTGCCACAGCTCGGCACTCTCGCCCTTCTTATTTAACATCCACATGAGGCCACTGGGTGAGGTGATCCAACAGTTTGGGGTGAGGTATAATCAGTATGCCGATGATACCCATCTTTATATCTCCTCCCCAGGCTGTCTGAGTGGTGCTGTGGATGTCCTATGTCAGTGCCTGGAGACTGTAGGGGCCTGGATGGGGTGCAATGGGCTCAACCCAAGCAAGATTGAGTGGCTCTGGGTGTTTGGGCCTCCCAGTACCAAGGTTTTTCCATCTTTGGTTATGGATGGCGTGGCACTGCCCAAGAAGGACCTGGTGGACAATCTGGGGATCCTCTTGGACTCATGGCTCCTGCTGGAAGAGCTGGTGGCAGCTGTGGCTAAGAAGGCCTTTGCACACTTTCGGATTGTGTGCCAGTTGCACCCATTCCTGGACCAGGAGGCTCTATTCACTGTCACTCATGCCCTCATGACCTCCCGTTGGGACTATTGCAATGCGCTCTACATGGGGCTGTCCTTGAAGAGCTTTCGGAAGCTTCAGCTGGTACAGAATGCAGCTGCCCAGGTTGTAAATAGTGTCGGCTACTCGGCACATGTAACACCACTGCTTTGGGAGCTGCATTGGTTGCTGGTGTGTTTCCAGGTGCAGTTCAAGGTACTGGTTGTCACCTTTAAAGCCCTTCATGGCTTGGGACTGGATTACCTTAGGGACCATCTTTTCCCAGTTGTTTCTACCTGTCCAATCCGGTCCCGCAGGATAGGCATGCCCTGGGTCCCGTCAGCCAAGGAATGTCAGTTGGCAGGGACCAGGAGACGTGCCTTTTCTGCTCGGGTGCCTGCCCTCTGGAACATCCTCCC